GGGGGGGGTGTTACTGAAGCGCCAAAGGGTCGGGTTTCGAGCGGGAGGTATGGGAGTGTGGGGGAGGGTATCCGGAATGGAGACGGAGGGCCCATGGGAGGTAGCCCAGGGATAGGGTCGAATTTGGTTACGGAAAGGGGGTTTGGTGCTTGTGGGAATTGGGGCTAGGGAAGAGACCGGTCACGGATCCCGACGCTCTGCCTCGGCAAGATCTGGGCCTTGGAGCTGGGCTGGCGCAAGAGAAGCGCGAGGCAGCGGGAGAAGGAGGTAGAGTTGTAGTGGGAAAGGGTGGGGGGCGGGGAAGGTCGAGCCCCTGAGGTCGGGGCTGGGGGAGGAATAACCCCCGCTCACCGCTTGATCCGGAGTAGACACTGCGGCGCGGTTCGCTCGCCGTCCCAATCGGAGCTGAGCGTGGGGTCCCAGTGGCTAAGCAGCGCGGCCCCGTGAGCAGCGGCCGAGGGCGGGAGCCCGGGCAGCGGAGCCAGGCCGCTCCCAGGCCCCCCGGCCCCGCCCGCTGCCGCCGCCGCCGCCCACACATCCGGCAGGAAAGGCGGCCCGAATCCGCCGCTGCTACCGCTAACGCCAACAACACCAGCAACGCCGCTTGCCCCAGGGCCCGCCGCCCCGGCACCCGCCGTAGCCGTCGCCGCCTCCTCAGTCGGACTCTCCGCCATCGCTGCTTCGCTTCCGGGACTGCACCGCAGCACGTCCGCCGACCAGAGCGGCCGCTGCACCTCCTGCTCCTGCACCACCGAGAGCCGGGCCAGAGTGTCCCCACCCTCCGTTTCCACAGCCCGGGCTGCGCTGGCGGCGCTGGCTCCGCCCACCCCCGCTCCAACCAGCGAGAGGCTCTCTGCAAGAGCGTCCACCCACGGTCCTCCAGGGCGAGAGGGGTTAGGAACTAGCGGCCGAGCGTGAGTTCCGGGCTCGCGCTGGTCCCGCGGTTCTGAGGGTGTCAGGACGTCTAGGTGCAGTTGAGAGCCCAATTCCATTGAATAGTTTATTTTCAAGTGTTTAAAGGGGAGGAAGGGAGAGCCATATCCCCCAACGCTTTAAAGAGACTGTGCCTCAGACATGCCCGTGGGGCAGGATTGGGGACCCAGCTTCCTTTCAGGGAAACTTAGGGTGGATGAGGTGACTCACTTAGGTGACTTCCAGTCCGAAAGACTCCGTGATTTATCCCTCCTCTCTGCACCCTCACCCACCGAAGGGAGGCTCCCATGCCCCTTGCCTGCAACAGGACCAAGAGTTAGGACAGAACCAGAATGAAAAGCCACCTCATTTTAAAAATAATTCCACACACATTTATTGAGGGCCTACTGAACAACCAGGCACTGTTGCTCTAGGTGTTGCCATAGGGACACTGAAACAGACCCAGAGAGACTTGGTGCAAGTTAGTGATAGCACGGGGAAGAAAATCAGGCCTCCCGACATCAGTACTCTTTCTTCCCACAAACACTTGAATATACAGGAATCAAAGGGCCGTGAGTGTACATACTGGGAGGATTCCTTAGGACTTTACTGAGATTTGTAAGGTGAAAAGTAAAGCTATGGACTAAAAACAACCTCTCTTTTCTTCCCATCAAGAATACAGGGTTATAATCTTATCCCAAAACCCCTGGGGCCAAATGTTTTTCAAAATTTATGATAATACCCTCAGCAGGGCCTGGGACAGCACCCAGTAACCAAACATATTGATATTTCTGCAGCCAAGTGTATGAATATTCATACTAATTTGGGTACATTTATGAATATTCATACTAAACGGCATGAATAGTCTCACTTTGTAAAATCCCATTTTGCCGCCACATTTGTTTTTGAAAAGCCCAGTTTTCAGAGCTTTGTGGATTTCCAATAAAGGGCGGTGGACCTGAGTCATAATGGCCAAAATTTACTGAGGGCTATGAAGTAAGTACTATTATTAGTCTGTTCTAACAGATGGAAAAACAGAGGCTTACAGAGGTTCAGTCACTTATGCAGGGTCACATAGCTAGCAAGTGGCAGAATCGGGGCTGTAAGCCAAATCTGTCTGAATCCAGAGAAGCTCTAACCACTATGTGGGACATCATTGCTTGGAACTTTCCCACACTTACCGTATACTACCTTGTACTAACAGTTGTTTGCTACCTGTTGCTTCCTGCTCCTCTCTCCCAACACACACACACACAATACAAACCCTTGGGGCTCTAGACCATGTGCTGCGTATGAACCCAGCACAGGGCATGGCACAACCTTGGCACTTAACATGGAGCAAAATGAATTAATGCAGTATTTATACAGGTTTCATGTTTTCTTGGTACAGTCTTTTATCACTCTATAATGAAGATGCCAGAATGTCTCTGAAAGATACATGAGATACTGGAACAGTGGTTGCCTCTGGATAGACTGGTTGCCAGCAAGGTGGGCTAGAGTATATACTTCCTCATACCTTTCAAATGTGCTGTGCATCTATTGCCAATTCAAACTATATATTATACTCATTTTTAAAGAATTCCAGAATTTTGCTTGGGTATTACTTATTTAGTGAGGTGCTCAAAGGCCAACTTGTCAGGTGACCTCACACAAAGAAAAACACTACTCCATAGCTCCTCCATGGCTACAGACTGTAGACGCCCAAAAGATGGCCCCTGGGGTGAGAGGATGTGGATTCCTCAGTGCATCTCACTTCTGGGCCATTGTTTTCAAGTGCAAGGTCTGGCAGTGATGGGACAATGAACAGAAAACACTTACCTTATATTCAGAAGAAAAAGGTTCAAGCTCCTAATCTGCACTCCACTCTTTGCCTCTTTGAGCTTATTTTTGCATTCATAGAATGGTGATAATTCCTACCTCTTAACATTCTTTTGATTTATTAAGTGTGACATTTCCTAAAGGGTTTTGTAAAGTGGCAAGTACTATACAAATAATTGGCACCTGTCTTCTCCACAGTGTATTCTTTCCTCCAGGCCTTTGCTCATAATATTTTCTGTACTTGGAATATGCTTTTCCTCTACAGTACCAGGGGAAATCCTAAATTTCTTGACCTCTCTGAGCTTCTGTTCCTCATCTATAAAAACTAGGAAAATAATAGCAGATACTAAGTAAAGAGAGCCCTGGTGGTGTAGTGGTTAAGAGCTCAGCTGCTAGTCAAAAGGTCCGCAGTTCCAATCTACCAGCTGCTCCGTGGAAATCCTATGGGGCAGTTCTACTCTGTCCTATAGGGTCGCCGTGAGTGGGAATCGAATCAACGGCAATGGGTACTAAGTAAAGATAATGTGATAATGAATGTATACAATGCCAGGCCAGAATAAATGTCCAATAATTATTAACTCTTATTATTCTTATTAATCCTTCAAAGGTAGCTGGGATATGACTTTCTCTGCCAAGCTTTAACACTTCCAGACATATTATTATTAATAATTAGTCATTTTTAATTATTTCCTCCTTTGGTTCTCATTGCTGACTATTCACACCTTTATTATAGCACATACTACTTTTTATTTTAGTTGTTTGGTTACTCATCTCTCTGGTCATTAGGTGTGACCTCCTCCAGGGCAGGAAGCATGGAGCACCTATCCTTGTGCCCCTGGGACCTGACATTCAGTAGGTGTTGTATAAATGGTGAACAGAATGGAAATAAGGACAAGGTAGCCAGTTGCCCTTCCCTGGCCATGGATCTTTAGGATTTCACCTCCTCCTCCCCTCAGATAGGTCTATTTTCTTTACAAAGGGCTGAGCCAAGCTTGCACAAAGAACCTGCAGGTCAAGGACTGAAAAGCTTGGGGACGGCAGCCGCTTAAAAATGACCAGCTCAACACCAACACCTCCAGGAGGCCTCTAAGGTGGGAGAGAAGAAAGGCCAGAGAGAGGCTAGCCGAACCTCATGAGCTGGCACTACTTAGTCCAATGCTCAGTGATGTTCTCAAGGTGGCAACCAGCCGCTGCTCACTGGCAGCTTGGCCAGGGGGTTAACAGTATGCCTTCTGGAGCCATTCCCATGCCCTCTGGGTATGGGTGAGAGCTGAGCGGGCTTCCTACAGGAAGACCTTCCGCCCCCAGCAATAGGACTGCCCTGCCTGGAGGAGGTCCCTTTGCAACAAAGTTTGGTAGCACCTTTCTCATGGCAATTAGGTAAGTGCCCTTCCCAAGGACAAGGGCAGGCAAGCGCCCTAGAGTTCAGGTCACTACTGTGCCCCAACTTCTAACAAATAATATCCTTCTCCCCTTCCTGAGGGTTCTGTGTCCCACTGCCCTCTGGGGCTTTCTTCCCCTCCAGGGCTGTCTTTTGTCTTAGGCTCAATGCCAAAGACAGATGAAACTTAAGAGCTCCCAGTCAAGGTCATAAACCTTGGATGAAAAGGAGAAATCTGAACTTAGACTGGGCGTTTTGAGGCTTGTAAGTAAAAATAAATTTAACAATACATGTATTTGTATATCTCATTACATATCTCATTAATACATCTATTTCTATCTATCACCCAATGGTTAAGAGCTCAGGCTGCTAACCAAAATGTCAGCAGGTCGAATCCACCAGCTGCTCCTTGGAAACCCTATGGGGCAGTTCTACTCTGTCCTATAGGGTGGCTGAGTTGGAATCAACTCGATGGCAACGTGTGTTGTATATCACCCAAACCCAACTACACCCACTGCCATCAAGTTGGTTCTGACTCATAGCGACCTTGTAGGACAGAGTAGAAGTGCCCATAGGGTTTCCAAGGCTGTAAATCTTTACAGAAGTAGACTGCCACATCTTTCCTCCGCGGAGTGGATGGTGGGTTCAAACCGCCGACCTATGGGTTAGCAGCTAAGCGCTTGACCACTGTGCCGTCAGGGTCTTGTATATATCACATGTATCTCATTAATATTGCGTATGCATATTATACATGCATTATCTCATGTATTACATGTTCCATAGGGTTTCCAAGGAGCAGGCTGGTGGATTCAAACTGCCTTTTGGTTAGCAGCCAAGCTCTTAACCACTCCACTACCAAGACAATTAACTTCTTAGGAAGCAGCAGGGCTGGGCTTTGTAACTGTCTGACTTCCAAGCCCATGATCTTCACCTCGGGTGCTGAACTCTTAAGGTGGTAGTTTCTAATTGTTTTTTGGTCACTATTGCTGTGAGTTGGAATAGACTCACCAACAATGTGTTTGGTTTTGACCCCTTTGAACATACAGTGAAAGCTATGGACCCTCTCCCAAGAAAAATGCACCTCTGTATCCACTCACAAATATTTTGCACTAAGCAAAATGGCCATCCATGGGTCAGTCCATAGTCCCTAAAGAACCTCCAGGTAAAGTTATGAGACTAATTAGTCTGGTTGGGGGGTGGGAGAGCATCTCCACCCCCACCAACCCTTTATGGCTCTAATGGGTCCACCAACCACATTCCCAATGCCGCTAGTTTGGGTTTTTATGTCCCAACAATTCCAAGGGTGTCTGGAGCCTGCAATGAAGGACAATTCTTACTAGTCATTGGTAAAAACTAAGTTCCTGGGGTTTCACAGGAAGGAAAAGGCAACCACCTTCCCTGGGGACTGCTCCTCGATTACCACCAGAGGGTAGTGACCCAGCAAGGATGCCAGCCTGACATCCCAAAGGGTTATGAAGTTCTGTTTGCATAACAGCATTACCAGTTAATCCATTGCTCCCTTGGCCATTCTTCAGCTGCCAGTTCAGCCTCAGTCCCATTCCTTCCCTGTGGCTCTGAGATTCCTGGGCTCTACTTCAGGTTCTACCACTGGCTTGCATGGTAACCTCGAGGAAGCTACTTAGGTATAGAGGCTAAGAGGACAAGCAACAGATTGTGGTAGGCTGGTGGTTCTTAACCAGGGGTGATTTCGTCCCTCAGCCAAGGAACACTTAGCAATATCTGACATTTGGCCATTGGCTGTCACAACTGGGCAGGGGTAGGGGGAAGAGTTTGCTATGGGTATCTCATGAGTAGAGGCAATGGATGCTGTTAAACATCCTACAGGACAGGACAGCCACCCACAACAAAGTATCATCTGGCTCCAAATGTGCCGGGGGTGAAAAACTGGTATAAAGGCCATGATTGTTGAATGAATGTCAGATGGAGTTGGACTGGAATCACTGGCCTGCTGTATGACCTTGCGCAAATCACTGAACCTCTACAAACTTTAGATGAATCAGTAGTGTTTAAGAAAACAGTTTCTGGAGCTTGAATCCCAGCTTTACTAACCAGCTGTGTGACCTTAGGTAGGATGCCTCCTCTCTGAGCCTCCCTCAGTTTCCTTACCTATAAAATGACATCTCATTGGATTTAAGTTACTCAAGGAAAGTGCTTAGCACTGCCCCCTGACATACAAGTGCTCAAATGTTAGCCAATATTACTACAACCAATGCTAACCTCCCTGCTTTTCCTCTTGGAATTTCTACAGCAAATAGCTTCTATACATTGTTCAATATTTCCATTTGGATGTTCCAAGCTCCTTGAGGGCAAGGACCTTAAATTTCTTTGCCTCCTCACAGCCCCAGGAAGGTGCTTAGTACTAAAACACCTGCATGATTGTCTTTCAGCTGCACATAGATTGACTCCATTCTCACTGACAAATTCTTTGGAATGTTTTAATCCTCTTGTGGTAGCTGTCTTTCAGTTAGAAGGTGTTCTTAACACTAATTAGGAAGGCTCTTGGTTTCACTATTTCATAGAAGTTTTGCAGTAAGTTATGAGGCAACAGACTTTCACAAAATAGCTTCCACTTGCAAATTATGTCCCCCAGCACTGCTGCATTAATTCTCTGCCCATGGATTGTCCCTGCTGAGGCTTAGAGAAGCAGCAGCTATTGATATATCAGCTTAGCATTATCTTACCTGGGATATCAGACCCACTTTAACCAAGCAGGGGGAGACTGCTGAACACAAACTTGTGAGACCACATGGAAGATGCCGCATGAAGCTTTTTCAGCAATTCGTTAGTTGGCTCACCTCAGAAAACACCCTTTTTGTCACTAGCAAAGCTAAGATCGTAAATTACCCAAGAACAGGGATTGTGTATCTTATTTGCTTTACTCAAGAACATTTAAGTACTCTAAGAAAGGTTAATTGATAATGAAAATAAAACAAGTGGGACTAAATCCAAGCAGATGAAGACCTAGCTCCACCTCTAACGTGTTCTACAACTTCTTTGGAACCAAGTTTCCCTACCTGTATTGGGCCCAAAATGAAAATAGACGGGACAGCACAGCAGTTAAAGGTTTGGGCTGGCTGGAGGGCTATCCCCAATTCTGCCACTGACCAGCTGTGACCTTGGACAAGTTATTTTGCTTCCCTAAGCCCTGGTTCTCTCTTTGGCAAACAGGTGTAATAGCTGTACTTCTAATTCACAGGGTTGTGGAGATAACAAATGTAAAACACTTGGTACGGAGCTTGGTGCAAATTAAGCTCCGTCAAAATGCTACAAATTAACATTAAATTTGATGGGGAGAAAGCACCAGTTATCATTACTGGGACAAACCCATGCTTCTCCCGGGAGATGGAGGGAACCCATATGCTCTTACAGCTATGGCAGTGTTACTGCTCAGTCCTGAGCAGTTCCTAATGACCACTGGCTGACCCAATTCCCTCTCCCTTCCTTTTCACCAAGGCCCTCCCCAAGGGCAAAGGACAGAGGCACAGGCATATGGATTTAGAGAAACAATGTGTTTAATTGTAAAGGTTAGCACACTCCAGCACGGCGCACGGCCTGGAGTCGAAGCAGCAGGGACAGGTAGGTGACCCCCACGGAGCCTCACATGGCGAAGAGGATGAGGAAGGCGACCATCAAACAGAAGAGCCCCATGGCCTCAGACAGGGCAAAGCCCAGAATGGCATAGGAGAAGAGCTGCTGCTTGAGAGACGGGTTCCTGCCAGGGACAGAGATCGATGCCAGCCCAGGGAGGAGATGGGGTGAGGTCATGCTGACAGTGGAGGGCAAGGAGGGTAAGATGAATGGGGAGTGCTATGACTGGGAGAGGGCCTAGCCTACACATTTCCTGGGGATTTGGATGGGCAAGCAGAGAACCAACATGGTAAGTTTAAATGAGCCAGGTTAGACAGACACATATTTAAATTCTGATTCTGAGGTCACTGGAGAAAATAGGAGGCAAATAAAATCAACCTCCAGGCTCCTGAAGAGAGCTCCTCCTGCTGAGGCTTCCCCCAAATAGGGTAGAGCTCACGATGGGGGATACTCTAGGCCACCTTCAAACTTACCTGGCATAGCCAATGATCAAACTGCCAAACACTGTCCCAATGCCAGCCCCTGAACCAGCCACACCAACTGTGGCAGCTCCAGCACCAATAAACTTGGCCGCTGTGTCAATGTCCCGGGAGACAACACTGGTCTGGAACTCCCGTCTGGCCAGCTGGAGTGGAGAGCTGCTATAGGAAGGCTAGAAGGAGGGCGGGTAGGTAGAGGGAGGGAAAGAGAGAGTAACGTAGGGAGGGAGAGAAAGGAAGAGAGAGCATAAGGAGATAGCGAGGAACAGGACAGGTGGCAGACTCCACCCCCTCACCTTACCCACCTGTGCTCTGTGAAACTGTTGGCAAACTGCCTGGCAAGTACAGAATGCTCTGACTGCAAAGTATGCTGCGAATCAGTCTTGGAATGTGTTTTCACACATGGCTAGGGAAACTTTGTGGGTTAGGGGAACCTCACTTAAGCAAGTCTCTCACCTACAATGCTCATCTTAGGAGACAATAAAAACACTTTACATTCTCTTCCTCTCTCTTACCACTTCTGCCTAAAGGCAACTCAATTTACCCAAACTGAGGAAATTCAGAACAGGGCCTTACTCCCTTACCTGTTTAGATGGGATCTCTGACCTACTCAGGAACGAGGCAGACATGGGCCTGATTAGACCCCTGGTATTATAGCGGAACTATAAAATCAGAAAGACACGCCAAAAAAAAAAAAAAAAGTAATTGTTACAACTTCTGTCAAAAATGATTATAAACATCGCAAACAGAAAAAGTTTAACACATTCAAGGTCAATTAATTTATTCCTTTTTCTACTAGATAGGCCTGCACCAGGAAGACAGCTGTCCTGAGACCCTGGTGTACTCAGCAGTGGCGACCTTCACCATTTAAAACCATGTACCAAAGTTCACCTCCATAGGCACAGCCTCAATTGGTATCCCAGAATGAAACAAAAATTCACACTAATATCAAACCAGGTACATGGAATTCCTTTGCACCTCAAAGGAATCAGGGGTAAGAAATATTATTTTGCTAAAATTTACTCACTGCTACACATCCTGGATAGAGCGGGCCAGTAAGCCTGGTGAGGCTCCTGAAACGGCCATTTAAACAGAGCCTTCTGTAACATGGCTTTCTTGAAATATTTTTTAGCACAGTGGCTCTCAAACTTGGCTTTACATTGGAATCATCTGGGGAGTTCTAAAAAATACAAATGTCTGTGTTCCACTCTCATTCCCAGAGACTGATGTAATTGGTCTAGGGTGCAGCCTGGGCATCAGGATTTTTAAAAACTCCCCAGATGATTCTAATGGGCAGCCAAGGTTGAGAACCACTGCTTTAATGGACTACCTCGCTAAGGCCACGTCAGACTGGGGTAAAGGTCAGATCCAGACTCTCTGAGGACATTCTAAGGCCCAGGTAGCTGGTTTAGTATTATCTGCTTAATTCTACAGTCCCAAATAAAGAGGGATTACCTGCATCACATTCTATAGTCTCCCCAAAGAGCCAACATCATCAGGATGCGAAGCTCCTCTCAGTTCATTCATTAAACCTTGAGGACTCCCATAACTGGCTCTACAGATCACCCCGGAGCCTCAGCTTACCAGAGCTGGAGGAATGAGTAATGCCCCGGTGGTCTGCATATTTTCAGTCTACAGAGGGGGGGAAAAAAAGTTCTACTGAGAGCCTAGTCGTTTGGTGACAGTGGCGACCTTCGTTCGTCCCCTCCACCCCCGCTCGTCCTCCCTGGACCACGCTCTTCCTTGCACCGTGCCCCAGCTGAGGAGGGCATTAGATGTCAGAGGGCCAGCGCGAACTCCCCGGTTCACCACCTTCAGCGCGGTGGGTCTGCAAAGGAAGGTCACGGAGAGCGGAAGGAATGGAGGAAATGAGGCCAAAGCCCCAGCAGGAAAATGTTGCGGAAGAGGATGGTCTCCCGGGAAGGCTGAAGGCAGATACTGGGCAGGTGCCATACAGGGTCCTGCCCATCTTACACAGCTGTCCTCAGTCCGCCCCAGCCGGGACAGTCAATCGCTCTTTACCGTTGGTAATTAACACGAAGTGGTAAGGCGGGAGACTCCCAGCGCCACTCCCGGCCCTGTGGCCAAATGCCCCTTCACACATCCCAGCCCACAACCCCGCCGGTCGCTAGCTCCTGCCCCCAAGTCACCTGCACTCCCACTGTCCTATTGCCCCTGCTCGGACCACGGCGCTCGCCCCGCTCAAGGTGACTGACTCACCTCTCAGCTTTAGCTCTGGGTCTCAGCGCTCAGCTCCCCGACACACGTGTCCTGGGGTCCTTCCACTCTCATTGGCCGCAATCCCTCCGGGCCCCCATTGGTTTACGTCACCAACTCCTCCCTGCTTATTGGTTTTATGCAGCTTCTTCCTCTCTCTCCACAGGAGCTTCGTGGCAATTCCCGCCTCCATGCGGGTAAAGCCGGGGCTTACTCCGAGATGTGGTTTACGATTGGCCAAGCCCTGAAATGCTCGACCATAGAGTCGGCCTGACACAGAGGTTCCATAACCTCCTGCACAAAATGGCGACCAAGGTGGAAGCCGAAGAAAAAGGCGTCGGAGAGATGACCGGACGCATTACGCGGACAGACACATGACCTTGGACCTGAGCCTTCATTCGGGGGCTCCGGCCTTGGAGTGCTTAGCCTGTTGGGATTTGTAGTCAGGTCGGAGACTCCCCCTCCCTGTGGGACAACTGAGATCCCGCGAGACGTTCCTCTCCAGCGCCAACGCCTTTGCAACAGTTTCCTACCCAAGTGATTTGAAGTAGGGTTTGTTTCCGCCATGCTGAAAGGATGTCTGCGTGCTGGGCTTGAAAGTTCGGAAGTTATCGTGTTTTTGTGGGTCTCTGTGGACGTTCAACAGTCATGGACCGGCAGCCAGATATTTTCTTAAAAGTATTTTTTATGTTGTAAAAACAACATTGTGAGGATAAAACACACCGATGGAAAAACGAGCAAAGGACAGAACCAGCCAGTTCACTAAAGAAGAAATATAAATTGCAGGGAGGGATGTTCAACATTACTAATTAAAGAAATAGTTTAAAACGCACCATTTTGCACTTACCAAAAGTGCAGAGTTCTTTTTATTAACCTGATCCAGGCACTCTCTTCTATTGCTAGTGAGAGTGTGAATTAGAAACCTTTCTTGAAAGCAACTTGGCAAGACTTACTGGAAGCCTTCGAATGATCTATCCTCTTTGACCCCAAAATTCTCGAGGCATTGAGAGCCTTTAAACTTTCATTTTCCTTGACCCAGTAGTAGTATAACTTCTAGGGAATTCATCCTGAGTAAACAACCAGAAATACAGCCAAAGATTCTGTTCAGAGTTTATCAAACTAGAACATTGGAAACAGGTAAATGTTCAACCAATGGTAAATGCTTAAATAAATTATGATATCTTCACTTTATGAAATGAGCAGATATTAAAAATCATGTTTTGAAGAGTATATTGAGAAAATTTTCATGTGTTGTAGGGGAAAAACATAAAAGTTTAGTAAAGCAAAAAGAAAGTTTTATTCGGCATATATTCAGAAGGGCAGAAGTGGGAAGCGGACAACCATGCTGCTAGAGCCATGTCTGCCCAAGTCCAAAGAATATTACAGAATAGGCAAGAATGGGAAAACGGACAAGCATGCTGCCAGAGCCATGTGTGCCCGAGTCCATTACAGAGTCATTAGTATATGTTAACATTACAAATGGGCAAAACCATTGAAAGCTTAGCCTTTTCAGATTGGCTAGAAACTGTGATCCTACATTTTGAATTGTCTTTCTTAACAATCATTGGGACAGGTTTCAGTAATGACAGTCTGGAGGGTCTTCATTGACCCAACAAATTTCTATTCACTGAATGCTAATAGAAAAAGATAAGAGTGAAAAGTCTTTCGTGTTGTGTTTGATCAGCTTTATGTGAAAGTTTCCCTAAAAGATACTTTCCAAGAGTATCTTAGCTATTGTCTTTATATCTCAGAGCCCAGTTGATGTGTCCTTGTGAGTCCTTGTGAGCCCAGCTCCAGCTGGGTCACATTTTCTATGCTCAAGGAGAGGGAATAATAACTCCAACATTATTTCCTAAATCACGTTACAAGACATGAAAAATGCAAAACTATGTATAGTGTTGTAAAAAAGAAAAATAACATGGAAAAAAGGTTTGGAAGAAAATAGAACAAAATATTAATAGTTAACTCTGGGTGGTATAATAGGTTGATTTATGTTTTCTTCTTTCCAGTTTTTTGAGTATACACTAATCTGAAAGCCAGAACTCTGGAGTCTTAGAAGAACATTTTAAGATTAAGAAGACTTGAAACATCCTGCCAGCATGGTATAATGGGAAGAGTGTGGATTTTTGATACTGCACAGATTTGAGTTCCTCTGCTATATAACTGGATATATGGAACTCTGAGCAGATTACCAAGTCTCTCTTGACCTAAGTGTTATAAGCTACCATTTATTGAGGCCTCATCATATGGCAAGCACTGTGCTAGCTAGGTGCTTTCACCTATTGTATGATTTAATTCTTACAAAAACCCTTTGAGGTAGGTATTATTATCCCCATTTTACAGATTATCCCATTTTAAAGACTATTTTTCTCAAGCTCGAAAAGCACAAGCTTTTAGCCAAGCTCTTGTATCTCCCTAAAACTGAAGAACCTGTAAGATAGGATTAATAATACCTGCCTTATAGAAATACCATCTAAAATAAATATCAGGCATGCATAGGTAGTCAGTAAATGTTCCCTTTCTGTTACTACACTAGAAGAAGTTATTTTTCCATGTGGATCATCCCTGACACCTTGACTTTGTCTAAATGTATTAATGTGTTGTTTTTTTTTCCACATACATATTTGTCACATAGCTTTATTCATAGATACATCCAAAGTTGTCAAGATTTTCTTATGACCTACTGAGAGGCAGGTGGTTCAGTGCCATGTTTATAATGTACATTTTGGAGTTAAACAAACAGGGTTCAAATCCTGGCACTGTCACTTTCTACTGTGTGATTTGGGGCAAAGTCGTTAATCTCTTTAAGACTGTCTTCATCAAGAAAATGGGCTTAATCTAAGATACTCCACTGGTCTCATCTCTTCGGGAGCAAGTGAGAATGAAGAGAACAGGATGCAACGAAAAGATTAGTCCAAAGGACTAATTGTCCACAGCTACCAAGACCTTCACCGGACTGAGTCCAGTACAGCTAGATGGTGCCCGGCTACCACCGCT